AAGGTAAGACACGTATGTATTCACATGAGGTCTTTGCTCTACAGCACTTTGCTTTATGGGTTTTTTGCTTAATTCAGTGGTTTTCAGTTAAAACCTATTTCTTCATTTATTCAGACTCTTCCTACAATAAATGCATTCATCACTCTCTTTAAACCCTTATACTGCCCAAATGTTAGAAACAAACATTCATGTGTGACCGCTCTGTTTTTTTTAAATGAAGAGTGATTTTTCCTGGCATCCCCAAATTTTGTCATACTGTGCACACTGATGTGGCACTCTCATCGCCGTCTCCATGTCTATGAACTCAGCTTATGTGCCAAGGTTGAAAAGCAGTAAATAAAACGTTAGATTATATGATCGGGACGCAGCTACGCATGTGAACGTTGATTTCCATTTGGATGGTTTAAGGGTTTAAAGGATGAAATATTTTAGGTAAGTAATATGTGTACTGTATACGTATTTTTTAGGCCAAGCTCTATTGCTCACTTAATATACGATAATGTAAACATGTTATCAGCTTTTTATGTGAATTTGTAAGTGAGATGGAGAGAAGAAAAAAAAAAAAGTGTTTCACTTTACAGTGATTTTCTGCTCTACAGCATAGACCAGATGCTAACATCCATGTATAAGCGAAGGCCTCCTTACTATGTATTTATTTTGCTTTTTATATCTTTTTTTTTATGCCTAGCTTTATTGAGCCCTTAATATATGATAGTGTAAACACATTATCAGGCATTTTGGACACATTTGATTAATGAAAAATTGCTCTTTTCACTGGCACTTTCCTCACTTTTAGAACGCACTGGGGAACAAAAGTGTCCCAATTCGCCGAGGAGTGAGGGCTTCTTCCCGCGAGGCATGGTGGACTTTGTTACTAAGGGGGCATTCCCAAATGCACCACGGGTCCCAGTTTTTTTTCTCCCGCGAAACCCCGACCACGCAGACCCATTCTCTCCCCCTGGGCCTCCCAGCCTTTTGCGTGAGATTTGAGGCCCGCTAGAATTTAGGTACTAGACGTCAAAACCCCTAGCTTTTAAGACTACTGTCGACCAAAACCCCCCCAAAGGGTTAAGAGGAAACTGGACAAGTATCTTCACCAGGTGCCGATCACCAGGCTGTGATAGATATGTGGGGTGCAGGCCTCCAGCCACAGCCAGGTTGATCGGCAAGCACCAGACAACCCTGGCCCATGGCGGGGGCTCTGAGAGTAGTTAAATCTCAAAAACTCTTAAAAGGTATTCAAAGGGGTCCGTTGCTTTGGGGGTCGTTAATTGGGATGTCCCATTGGGGTGCCCCCTTTGGGGTCCCCACATTGGGGGGCGCCACATTGGGGTGCGCCACTTTGGGGGCGCCAATTGGGGTGTGCCCATTGGTGTGTTAAAATGGAGTCTTTTAAAAATTGGTACCCTTAAAGTGGGCCATTAAAGGGGGGACTACTAAATTATGACATTAACCTCTTGACGTCGCAGCCCCCCAATCCTGAGGTGTCCCTGGTGTCGCAAAATTTAAAAAAAAAATATTTTTTTTTATAAAATGAAGGAATTTTTTCCCCGATTGAAAGACCCCAAAAAAATGAAATTTGATAAAAAACTGAGGGAATTTACGCTCTCTCAAAGTTAGCAACCTCGGTATATTTACAAATCGGCGATTTTTGCCCACTTTAGCCCCATTTTGGGGCTAATTCATTGTTCCAGTGACCAAACCTTTGCTTTTCTTTAGAATCCGTTTTTTTTCTATCGATTGAGTCAAGAAATGCCATTTTCCGATTTCAACTACCCAACAACGTGGGAGAAATTTGCAATTTGCTAATTTCACAAAAAAATTAAAAAATATGACAATTTCAAAATAAGGTCCAGAATGAACAATCGACATTCCTGGCTTAAAATAAAAATTTTTTTTTTTCAAGTCATGTCTCCAGGTGCCTCTTATTTATCTTGCTTTCTATTTTGAATTTTTATTCAAAAAAAAAAAATAAAAGTTTTCTGTTTGCAGACTACTGCAATACGTAATAATTGCACAGATAATGTCAACCCATTCATGACTGCATTTTAGAATGGCTAGTTGGACATTTATTAAAAACAATGACATCATTTGTTTATTTTTGAACACGGAAAAAATCACACTTTTCCCCTTTTTTGAGCCCATTTTCGGTTCTTTTTATGTAAAAACCAATCAAAATCACCTCTATTTCATAATATGTTTTCTGAAAATGAGACCATAAAAATTTAATAGACCAAAAGTCAGCATTTTAATTTTAAAAAAAAGGTCGTAGTTTTTTTTTTCTCATTATACACTGCGTGTTTCCAAGATTTTTTTTTTGGTGCACATGCCCACCAGCCCCATTTTCTCAATGGGGGCCCCTCCCAGCTTTCTCTGGTTGATTTAAACCGCTAGAATTTTGGTAATGTGTCAAATAAGGGGGTCGTAGATTATTTTTCGCCCCAAAACGTCAAAGGGTTAAATTTGGTCATTAATCAAGGTTTTTTACTCTAAAAACTGTGAATTGGTTTCCTGGTCAAAGGGCACCTTCCCACATACCCATTTTTTTTTTAAAACCCTTCCAAAGAAGTTATAGTTGTATTTGCTTCCTGTCGATTTGTTATTTTTTTGATATGAAAATAATAGGAATATCTTTGAAAAACGAAAGTCCGCAAAAGCCACTTACTATAAATGCATTTTAGGGAAACAATCGTAATATACTAAAAAAGAAAACCCCCAATATAATTTTAGTCATCGTGCATTGGTACTCTTGTGTAAATTATTTCAGTATAAAAAGGTGCTTCTTGATTTATGAGGGTTTCGTTCGACAAAACCCCTTGTAGTCCCCAAATTCAAATTCAAATTCAAAGTTTATTTCCCCTTTAAAGGGTTTACAATGTTGAGTTTACAGAAATTTGGTTATTGTTTTTGGGTTTAAAATGTAGTAAAATTGGATTACAGAGTTCCACTAAACGCTTAGCATGGCTAGGCATTTTGGGCATAAATATGAATATGAATATGGGTATGCTAAAAAAATAAGTAAATAACTAACTTTGTCATGAATAAAAAATAACTTAACTAATACCCTATTGAAATTAAAAAAAATGAATATAAATTTCAAGGTGAAGGGGATTGATGTGTGTATACCTATAAATTTGCCGAAATGCTTACAGTGGCCCCCCATTAATCATGGAATAAGTAATATTCGGAATAAGTAACTTTTTTTTTTTTTTCAAAAAATTTGGCTTGGTGAACGTTACTGAACCAGAAAAGTCATTTTTTCTGGAACGTGTCCGCATGGCCTGAGCGGCCAGACACTCCATTGCACCCGTGTCCATTTTTTTACCCGCCGTGAGGAGGTCTCACGAGCCTACCAAAAACATTTTGTATTATTCATTCTTTTTTTTGTCTTGTAAAGCTAAATAAACCACCAAGGGCCCAAAGAAAGCTTCTAGTTCCAGCCAGCAGCCTTTGTAAAGGGCAGAGAGAGAGAGAGAGAGGAGAGAGAGAGAGAGAGAGATAGGGGGGGGGAGGAGGGGAGGAGGGGAGGGGGAGAGAGGAAATGTAGTGCCTTTTCAGTGATTTCTGAACATGTACGATACTAAAGCACATGAGTTGATAAAGGCTCTAGCGCCAGCCAGCGATAAATTGTAGCATAACAGTGTAGCAAGTAAGTTAGTAAGCGATAATCAATAGAAAAAGGACAGCATGAAAGCGACTCCTCCATTGTTGTTGGAGGTAATATAGGGCAACTGACAAGAACTGCTGCCTCTGCTGCCTCTTGCTGCCTACCATGCACCACCCAATATATACGTCTCATCTTTCAGTGGCCCTTTTACTTACACCCAAAAACAAACACACGCCACGCTCTTGTGAACGTTCTTTAATGCCATATTTTTATTCATTCTGAGTATGCCTGTTTTCTATTTATTAATTACAGTGAGCCCCCGCATAACGATTACGTCCGAATGCGAAAAAATTATGTAAGGTGTAATTATATAGTGCATTTGTACGTGTAGTGGTTTGGGGTCTGAGAAATTGGACATTCTTCTTCACATATTTCCTATTGGGAATCAAATTCCGGTCCCAGTACTGGCACCTGAACATACTTTCTGGAGTGAAAAAACTATCGTTACCGGGGGTCCGACTGTATTGTTTTATTATGTTCATACTAGATGAGCGTTGTGCTAGATTAAATAAGCCGTAGGAGCTGTATTTGTGTCATATTGGAAGACTATCTTGGTCCTTGTCCTCCCAACAGCAATTCGCTAACGTACGCCGAAAGCGGGACGCGCTCTGGAACACTTTTTTGAGTCGATTGGGTCCCAGTCCGACTCTGCAGCGAGGTCCGAGTGGCATTAAAGATACAAAGAAGGGAAGTAACCCAGGATAAGGACCTGGTAGGCCTGTGAAGTCTCTGCGTGAAGGGATTCCCCTTCCAAACAGGTGTAAACTCTTTCCATCCTCTCCCCTCCTCTCCATCTTCCATACATCACTCATTGTCTTCAATAAAGGCTAGTGTGATGCTGTTATGATGGAGTTTTATTCTTCATGTATGCAGTGTTTTCTGTGGTAGGTAAATGTATTCTGTAGCGAAACAATTTTGTCTTTCATACTTTTGTGTGTGTCTGAAACGGATTAATTGGATTTCCATTGTTGTCTTATGGGAAAATTATTTCGAATAAGTCAGAATTCAGGATAAGTTCACTCTTTCGTGGACAATGGGCTTAATTACGTAATCCAGTGGGTCCATGTACATACTTTTACAAGTTTCTAGTTTCTTTATATTTTTGTGCCGAGGATGACTTCTCTATTTTGAAGGTACCTCTATATAGAATAAGGATTTTGTAACCGATGAAAAATAGTCAATCTGTGGAAACTCATCAAAGGTAAAGGTAAGGTATCCAGAATTGAATAACACATACATGTAAGACTTTTTCACTCACTGTTCAATTTTGGATACACTTTTACAATCACATATACAAAAAAAAAAAAAAATGCACCATTTAGAGTAGTTTAACATGCTTAGTTGAGATTGATATTTTTGCACTTGTGAATAAGCAGAAAAATAGATGGGAAGTTGAACAGTGTTCTTGGCATGTAGCAAGCTCAGTGCTGTCAATTCAACGACACTCATTTATTATGACTTGCCTCGAGTTTTTGTACACTAATGTTTGTTAATTGATTTCAGATTGGGAACACACGGTGAAGGTTGGTGTCCTGGACTGTGCGGTCGATGAGAATGTACCAGTCTGTCGAGAACATGAAGTCATGGGCTATCCAACAATCAAGTTGTTTGCTGCTCGTGCTAGCAAGGTGTTTACACTCGCCAGTTTTTTTTATACACTAATCAATTTTACAAGCCAAGAGCTGTTATCCTACCTCGGTTCACTTCAAGGCCCAGCCCAATCTAAGGTATACTACCACCCCTAGGATCCTACCCACAACAGTTGACTAATGCCCAGATACCTACTTTCTGCTAGGTGAACAGGGACAGCAAGAGTAAGGAAACACCCAGCGTTTCCTTCCGTAACGGGCACTGAACCATGGACACTTGGTGTGTGAGCTAAGTAAACTACCAACCCAGCTGCTATAACAAGGAGATGGGGTGTAGTTCAGAGGTTTAGGAAGGCATTGCTGAATAAGACGCATGCACAACACCTGGGCATCTTTACTGTGGCGACATTGTACCAACCAGGGTGTTATCAATCCATTGAAGAGTTTATTAATCCTTTCACTGTCCAGATTAATATTGCTCTGTGTCCACTTGTTAAAAAAGAAATCTGAAATGGTAGAGAATCTCTTTCCGAAGGTAACTACTGTACTTGTGGTTGACAACCACTAACTTGCAACTATTTTAGTGGCAGTAACAGAAGTGTGAAGCACACTGTGATAAATGGTGCAAGCAACACTATCTCAGCTCTCACAGCTTTTCACAAGACTTCACAATTTTTCACTACCCTCCACAACAGTTTTTCACAACCCATGACAACTTGACAACAACTTGCAAGCCTTTTCTACTTTTCACAGAGCTCACAGCCTTTCAAAGCCTATCATAAATTTTACTGTGCCTACACTGAAGGATAGGTGAGGATGTTACAGTTCTGGAAGTGGAAAATAGTGTCTGCACTCTGAAGGATGGGTGAGGATGTTACAGTTCTGGAAGTGAGAAGTACAGTGCCTACACTCTGAAGGATGGGGGGTGATGTTACAGCCCTGGAAAGGGAAGAAAAGACTGCCCTTTGAAGAAGGGGTGAAATTAGTCTGGAATGGGAAGAACAACCCGCACTCTGAAGATTTGGTTTAGAATATCACGTTCAGATTGTCCCGGAACCCTTAAACCCAAAAGTGACTGAATAATGGTGAATGCATTTCCTCTAAATTTTTGCCCCAGACCATGGGTTTGAAATGCATAAGAAAACCCCTAAAACAAATTTTTCGGCGCTTTCTTCTCGCAGGGAGATGTGGGCACGACTGCAGCGGGTCCACGGTGGATGACAGGGGCAGATCTGTCATTGACTTCCGGTAGACAAACAAAAGGCCAATAATGGCTCTTTTATCGTGGTAAACCTGCAAACCTTTTCGGAAAGGGAAGAAACTGTACTTCCCCCAAATAAGTGTTGCATTTATGTGGTAGTTTTTAGTATTTAGAGGTGGTGGTGGTAGTTGTGTATTTAGTAATAACTGTGGTACAGTGCTACCAGTAGTACTATATGGTGGTGGTTGAGTTCTGCTAGTATAGTAGTAGTATTTGCATAGTATAGTATATTGGATTCCATGTCAAGTGGAACATTTGAATCTCCCACCTGACCATCTCCAATTTCAGTAAAATTTTATATGAAGGTTGGCGTGTATATCAGACTAACTTTGGGAAAATTTTAGTTCACGATATGCAATAGTAGTAATGCTGTGACCCTCAGAGTGGAGGCAGGTGAAAATTTCGCTAACCCACGGCACACAATCGACAATGTTCAGATTATTGCTGTGGCAGATCTAGAAGAGAAAAAGTTGTGTAAGTAGACATGTCTCTACAACTTTTGGAGCTGATTTAAAAAATTGCAGTCCTAAAACTTGCATACTTTTACTTTTTTCACAGTATGAAGCCAAAATAGAGAAAAAATTTGTCGTGTAAAATTGATCAAATCTTGAATTCATCTGCTTATATCTCTAGAGGAAAACATTATTTTAGTATGACAATATTGTAGGCAGCTAAGTGGACACGTCACACTTCTAAAATATTAGACTCCAAACGTTTATAGTTCCTGTGCTAATGGTACCTAAAAATGCCCTCACGGTGAATTTTAGGCCATTTTTGAAGACCAACAACAAAAAAGAAGTTTAGTTTTTTTTTTTTAAACCTTCATTAGAAAGAGCAGATTCTAAACTACAAGATATGTATTTTTGACAGGCATTTTACCCTTGAAGGGAAAAAACAGGCCTTAAAATAAGGTGATTTTTGGCTTGCGCAATGTTATAATAAAAACCAGTCAATTTTTCAGTCGCTGTTGTTGTAGAGCAACAACAACTAGACCCTCAGACTTAGTTGTCCTTGTACAGTTTTCAGTGGGGAATTTCGAAGTTATCAGAACTGATATGGACCCATATAAAATAAACAGAGGGTACTACCCAAATTTACCCCGTTTTTTTTAGGGTTGCTGCAAAGTGATATAAAAGTGGGGATGTCACAATGCACATGTCATCTGAACTGTGACATCATCAAACTTTACCAACACAGTGATTTAATGAACGATTTGGGGAAAGGTTCTTCCCCCCCCCCTTTTTTTTTTTTTTCCCAGGGAGGGTCACCCTACCTCAGTGACAGACTATTGGTGGTTTAAAAAAAAATATTTAATTTTGGTTGCATGTCTGTAATTATGTTTTGTGGAATTGATGCTGGTTGCGTTTGGCTCATTCGTGTGCATTTTGCTATGCTGTTGGTGTTCAGCAATTGTTGTACACTGACAGTATACTGTTGGTGTTATATAAGAGAACCCCATGTATTCGCACCCTCTTTTCGGTGTTCTACGTTTTTTGGTATTTTTCAATTTGAACCATTGTTGAGTATGTTCAGTTTTTCCCCAACAGTTGCATAAAGGAAGGGCACTGGTGCCATTTTTAAGGTAAGTACAGTATTGATTTCACATGAGGTCTTTGCTCTACAGCACTTTGCTTTATGGGTTTTTGCTAATTCAGTGGTTTTCAGTTAAACCTATCTCTTTATTCAGACTTCCTACAATAATGCTTTCATCACTCACTTTAACCCTTATACTGCCCAAATGTAGAACAACATTCATGTGTGTACCCGCTATTTTTTTAAATGAAGAGTGGCATTTTTCCTGGCACCCCCAAAAATTTTGTCATACTGTGCACACTGAGTGCACTCTCATTCTCTCATGTCTATCCCAACTCAGACTTATCGTGCCAAAGGGTTGAAAGCACGTAAATAAAACGTAGATATATGATCGGAGCGCTAGCACGTGAAGGGTTGATCTCCATTTGGATGGTTTAAGGGTTAAGGATGAAAATATTTTAAAGGGTAAGTAATAGTGTACTGTATACGTATTTTTTAGGCCAAGCTCTATTGCTCACTTAATATACGATAATGTAAACATGTTATCAGCTTTTTATGTGAATTTGTAAGTGAGAGAAGAAAAAAAAAGCTGTTTCACTTTACAGTGATTTCTGCTCTACAGCAGTAGACCAGATGCTAACATGCTGTATAAGCGAGGCCCTCCCTTACTATGTATTTATTTTGCTTTTATATCTTTTTTTTTATGCCTAGCTTTATTGAGCCCTTAATATATGATAGTGTAAACACATTATCAGGCATTTTGGACACATTTGATAATGAAAAATTGCTCTTTTCTACCCTCGGTGATTTTCGCTTGCAGCACTGGGTCGGGAATCTAAGAGCTGTACAAACGAGGCTCTCCTGTACTTTAGTGTTTTACTGTCAGTCTTATATTTGTGCTGTTCTGCCAGTGTTATGTGTAACATTTTATTATACTTTCAGATTTGCATATAATGTGTGATGGTTGGTTACAGAGGAGCAGCTGCAGACGCCTGGTCGGAGGTGCGGGACTACGGCATCGTGGAGCATGTTGTTGTTATTGTTGACACAGCCAAGTCTTACATCAGCTGGCGTACCATACTAGACCTGGGAGGATACTCCACTGTGAGTACTCCCATTCATTCTTAACCCCCATTTTTCCATCCATTCATATTTCACCCCAATTTTCCCTTCCTTCCTTCATCTTCACCCCCATTCCTTCCTCCCATTCATTCTTCACCCCCATTCCTTCCTCCCATTCATTCTTCACCCCCATTCCTTCCTCCCATTCATTCTTCACCCCCATTCCTTCTTCCCATTCATTCTTCACCCCCATTCATTCTTCACCCCCATTCCTTTTTCCATTCATTCTTCACCCCCATTCATTCTTCATCCCCATTCATTCTTCACCCCCATTCATTCTTCATCCCCATTCATTCTTCACCCCAATTCCTTCCTCCCATTCCTTCCTCCATTCCTCTCAAGAGCTTGTGGGTTCAGCTGTTTAAGCAGGGCCCTCTTGTACAGCATTAGCCTGGAACCTAACCTGCTGTATAAATAGGGCCCTCCTGTATAGCATTAGCCTGGAACCTAACCTGCTGTATAAGTGGGGCCCTGCTGTACAGCAGTAGCCTGGAACCTAACCTGCTGTATAAGTGGGGCCCTCCTGTACAGCATTAGCCTGGAGCCTAACCTGCTGAATAAGTGGGGCCCTGCTGTACAGCAGTAGCCTGGAACCTAACCTGCTGAGTAAGTGGGGCCCTGCTGTACAGCAGTAGCCTGGAACCTAACCTGCTGAATAAGTGGGGCCCTGCTGTACAGCAGTAGCCTGGAACCTAACCTGCTGAGTAAGTGGGGCCCTGCTGTACAGCAGTAGCCTGGAACCTAACCTGCTGAATAAGTGGGGCCCTGCTGTACAGCAGTAGCCTGGAACCTAACCTGCTGTATAAGTGGGGCCCTGCTGTACAGCAGTAGCCTGGAACCTAACCTGCTGTATAAATAGGGCCCTCCTGTATAGCATTAGCCTGGAACCTAACCTGCTGTATAAGTGGGGCCCTGCTGTACAGCAGTAGCCTGGAACCTAACCTGCTGTATAAGTGGGGCCCTGCTGTACAGCATTAGCCTGGAACCTAACCTGCTGTATAAGTGGGGCCCTGCTGTACAGCAGTAGCCTGGAACCTAACCTGCTGTATAAGTGGGGCCCTGCTGTACAGCAGTAGCCTGGAACCTAACCTGCGTATAAGGGGGGCCCTGCTGTACAGCAGTAGCCTGGAACCTAACCTGCTGTATAAGTGGGACCCTGCTGTACAGCAGTAGCCTGGAACCTAACCTGCTGTATAAGTGGGGCCCTGCTGTACAGCAGTAGCCTGGAACCTAACCTGCTGTATAAGTGGGACCCTGCTGTACAGCAGTACCTGGAACCTAACCGCTGTATAAGTGGGGCCCCTGTACAGCAGTAGCCTGGAACCTAACCTGCTGTAAGTGGGACCCTGCTGTACAGCGTAGCCTGGAACCTAACCTGCTGTATAAGTGGGGCCCTGCTGTACGCAGTAGCCTGGAACCTAACCTGCTGTATAAGTGGGACCCTGCTGTACAGCAGTAGCCTGGAACCTAACCTGCTGTATAAGTGGGACCCTGCTGTACAGCAGTAGCCTGGAACCTAACCTGCTGTATAAGTGGGGCCCTGCTGTACAGCAGTAGCCTGGAACCTAACCTGCTGTATAAGTGGGACCCTGCTGTACAGCAGTAGCCTGGAACCAAACCCTGCTGTTAAGTGGGACCCTGCTGTACAGCAGTAGCCTGGAACCTAACCTGCTGTATAATTGGGGGCCCTGCTGTACAGCAGTAGCCTGGAACCTAACCTGCTTTTAAAAGTGGGGCCCTCCTGTACGCAGTAGCCTGGAACCTAACCTGCTGAATAAGGGGGGGCCCTGCTGTACAGCAGTAGCCTGGAACCTAACCTGCTGTATAAGTGGGGCCCTGCTGTACAGCAGTAGCCTGGAACCTAACCTGCTGTATAAGTGGGGCCCTGCTGTACAGCAGTAGCCTGGAACCTAACCTGCTGAATAAGTGGGGCCCTGCTGTACAGCAGTAGCCTGGAACCTAACCTGCTGTATAAGTGGGGCCCTGCTGTACAGCAGTAGCCTGGAACCTAACCTGCTGTATAAGTGGGGCCCTGCTGTACAGCAGTAGCCCTGGAACCTAACCTGCTGTATAAGTGGGGGCCCTGGCTGTACAGCAGTAGCCTGGAACCTAACCTGCTGTATAATGGGGCCCTGCTGTTACAGCAGTAGCCTGGAACCTAACCTGCTGAATAAGTGGGGGCCCTGCTGTACAGCAGTAGCCTGGACCTAACCTGCTGAATAAGTGGGGCCCTGCTGTACAGCAGTAGCCTGGAACCTAACCTGCTGAAAAGTGGGGCCCTGCTGTACAGCAGTACCCTGGAACCAAACCCTTTGCTGAATAAGTGGGGCCCTGCTGTACAGCAGTAGCCTGGAACCAACCTGCTGTATAAGTGGGGCCCTGCTGTACAGCAGTAGCCTGGAACCTAACCTGCTGTATAAGTGGGGCCCTGCTGTACAGCAGTAGCCTGGAACCTAACCTGCTGTATAAGTGGGGCCCTGCTGTACAGCAGTTAGCCTGGAACCAAACCCTGCTGAATAAGTGGGGCCCTGCTGAAACAGCAGTAGCCTGGAACCTAACCTGCTGTATAAGTGGGGCCCTGCTGTACAGCAGTACCTGGAACCTAACCTGCTGTATAAGTGGGGCCCTGCTGTACAGCAGTAGCCTGGAACCTAACCTGCTGTATAAGTGGGGCCCTGCTGTACAGCAGTAGCCTGGAACCTAACCTGCTGTATAAGTGGGGCCCTGCTGTACCTGTAATGATCAGAGATGCGTAGGTTAACCTTCTAATATTCTGTCATGGGAAATAATGAAGGATTTTTGAATTATGTTTCTAGTATATTATAAGATCTTTTACTCTGGTGACTTTTGTCATGACTTCTAGTGTTTGAATTTTTGAAAGTAAGGCCACACAGTCATTATTGTTACTTATGAATAATTGTGAACATATGAGAACTAGTATCTGCTGTGTAGAACTGCACTTGTTCATTCTTTCCCATGTCTAGAATTATACTGCATCACCCTCTTTCCTGTCTAGAACTTCACTGCCTCATCCTCTTCCCAGTCTAGAACTATACTGCATCACCCTCTTTCCTGTCTAGAACTATACTGCCTCATCCTCTTCCCAGTCTAGACCTACACTGCTTCACCCTCTTCCCAATCTAGAACTACACTATACACAAATAACCTTCACATAGAAGAGAGAAGCTTTCGACGATGCTTCGGTCCGACTTGTGACCATTTACAAAGTCACACGGGTTATTTGTGTATCGTTCCAGTCACGGTATTGTGCCGTTTTTTTGTTATTTAGAACTACACTTCTTCACCCTCTTCCCAGTCTAGAACTACACTGCATCACCCTCTTCCCAGTCTAGAACTACACTTCACCCTCTTCCCAGTCTAGACCTACACTTCACCCTCTTCCCAGTTTAGAACTACACTGCTTCACCCTAAAAACAGTCCTGAGCACCCTGAATCCTCACCAGTGCTTGGAAAACCACAACACAGAATCATACAAAGTCTGTATTAAATATGTACCATTGAGGAAGCCTAGAAGATTAGATATAGAGAGCATAGAAGATTGTGCAGAAGAATTACTTAATCAGGTGAGTACGTCACAACGAAGGAAACATGATCTTAGCTGAGAGATCATCGACATAGAGCAACAACTTAGGTTGTTGTACCAAACAGAAGAAGCACTAAGGGAACAAAACGTCATCCAAGGTATTGCAAGAAACACAGATAATTTTTATTCATATGCAAAATCCAAGCTAAGAACTACCTGTAGAATTGGGCTCTTAATGAGGGGAGGTTTGTATGCTGACAATGAACAGGAAATAAGCAAAATTCTTAAAGAATATTATAAGTTAGTGTTCAGCAACTTGCTAAATGATAGCAAGGTAGAGAATGCAAAATCTTTTTTTTTTTATTCCATCAGAAAGTCAGGCAGACAGACTAACTGACAGTACTAATCCCATAGAATTCAAAAAAGAAACTGAAAACATTCCCACTCACTCAGCACCTGGAAAAGATTCATGGAATTCCTGAAGGGATTCAGGGAATTTATGGAATTCCCTGAAGGGATTCAGGGAAACTGGCAGACCGGACTTGAGTCCTGGAGATGGGAAGTACAATGACTGCACTCTGAAGGATGGGTGTTAATGTTGCAGTTTTATAACCGTAGTGTAAGCATGCCTCTGGCAAGACAGTGATGGAGTGAATGATGAAGGTTTTTTTTTTTTCTGGCCACCCTGCCTTGGTGGGAATTGGCCGATGTGTTAATAAAAAAAAATAAAAAGGTGCCAAGTACCACTAGCATGAACCCTTAGTATTCTTTGGAGAAAGAGCCTAGATCTAGGTGAAATACCAATGACCTTGAAGAGGTGATGTTTTCTCTCTCATTTGGAATATTGTTCACTGTCAATGGCCTTGTTCAGCGTAGGAGAGATATCATAGCTGGAACAGTATTGTTTAGTGATGACAGCCTCATTCAGGAGAGATATCAGAGCTGGAACAGTTAGAGGTCATTTAAAACCCATATAGAGCCAATAAAGCATTTAATTTACTGGGAACACCTTAAAGGTTCAAAATACGTACTCTGTAGCAGAGAGAGAGAGAGATATAGATATAGATAGATATAGAGATAGATATAGATAGATATAGATAGATATAGATATAGATAGATATAGATATAGATAGATATAGATAGATATAGATAGATAGATAGATATAGATAGATATAGATAGATATAGATAGATATAGATAGATAGATATAGATAGATATAGATAGATATAAATAGATAGATATAGATAGATATAGATAGATAGATATAGATATAGATATAGATAGATATAGATATAGATAGATATATAGATAGATATAGATATAGATAGATATAAATAGATAGATAGATATAGATAGATATAGATAGATAGATATAGATATAGATAGATATAGATAGATATAGATAGCTGAAAATATATACAGTAGTCCCCCGTATCTGTGGGGATATGTTCCAAGACCTACCATGGATATCTGAAACTCCGGATAGTAGCAAATCCTATATATGTCATTTTTCATTTACATGTACAGTAGAACCTCTACTTATGAGTTTAATCTGTTCCATGACCTTGCTCGCAACTGGATTTGCTCGTTTGCAGAGTCGATTTTCCTCATTTAAATTAATTGAAATGTAATTAATTCGTTCCAGTGGAATTCCAGGAACGAGAAAATACTTTAATAATTTCCCTAATATCAACTCTACAGCTTATTTATCTATCACAATTCATGTAATATGACATAATAAACAATATTAATAAAATAGAAACATGATATATACACTAGAATGAATAAAATACATGTCATTAGGTATGTGGCTAGTGGTGGTGACAGCAGCCATTGTTGTTGGGGTTTAAAGGGCCACCACAGCGGGGATTCCTGCTCCTGACTACATGCTGACATGTCTGCAGTGGCAGACATCATGCTGCCTCATGATGTCTGCCACTGCTACCTCATGATGTCTGCCACTGCTACCTCATGATGTCTGCCACTGTGCTCATGATTCTGGGCCCCTGTACTCATGATGTCTGCACTGTACTCATGATGTCTGCCACTGCTGCTTCATGTTGTTTTGCCCTGGCTGCTCATGATGTCTGCCCTGTTGGTTCTGTTGTCTGCCACTGCTGCTTTTTGTTGTCTGCCACGCTGCCTCATAATGTCTTTCCACTAATTTTCACCAAAAATCGACATTCTGCTATTTGAGCTCATTTTCAAGTACTTTTCATCGTGAACAACTTAAATCATTTTTTTATTTCTGTAGTATCTTCCATTCTACACACAAGACCAAAAAAATGAAAACAACATAAAAAACATACGAAAATGTGCCTAAGGGGAGGCTAATGGCTGAGAAGTGAACTCGTTATTTTTGGTCTGATTTCCCTTTCCTTTTGGTGTATGTTAGAAGCATCTTTTCATCCTCCATTGCCCAAGTTTCAATTAATAGTCCAACAAACAAGGAGATCCAATTCAAGAGCAAGAGCCCCCTCACCAGGGTCAATTAACCTCCCTTGAGGCCCACTCGCATCTGGAAATTTTGCTCGCGTCTGGAAGCAAAAAAATCGACCGAGCAGCTGCTCGTATCTAGAAAAACTTGCACATGGATGCACTCGTAAGTAGAGGTTCCACTGTATATCTATGATAAAGTTTAATTGATAAATTATGCAAAATAAATCTAAAATTAGCCCTTTTTCACTGATGGGAAGCACTTCACAGCTACTCTGAGGCTTTGAAGAACTGACAGCATCATTACTATTATGCTTTGGGGCTATTAATTATTAAGCAAAATTGTTATTTTTGGGCCACAGTAAACCATGGATAACCAAAACCGCGGATACAGAATTCACAGGTTCTACTGTACCTGGAAGATACCTGAGGACCTGGTGCCAGACCTGCACACTGCCATAACTATACTGCAGTGAGAGAGTTTATAACACACACTGCTAACCTGTTATCCAGTCTGGCAATTATACCAGGTTCTTAATATTGTTCACCATAACATTCACAATAACATTGTTCATAACTGTTCACTATAACATTGCTGACCATAACATTGTTCACCATAACATTGTTCACCATAACATTGTTCACCATAACATTGTTCACTATAAAATTATAGGCCATAACATTGGTGACCATAATTGCTTGCAGGTTGCCGTCCGCTACAAGGAAGTAGACATACTTGACGCCACAGAGTTCTCATCTGCTGACTTACCCACTGTGATCTTCGTGGATAAGGCGCTGAAGGAAGAGGTGGTGAAAGGTGCACCCAACACCCGTGAAGGATTGAAAGAAATGATTGCCAAGAAGCTCGGTCTGAACGTGGGGATGCTGCCGTACAAGACAGTGTACTCGGGTGTGTGACGATAGTGGTGTTTTGTTCGGCAGGAAACAAGTGGACACAGTTTCTCCACTATACATGTTCCTAAGCCTCTTGTAAATCTCTATTAGCCTACATTTCAAATTTGTTATCATTCATAAAAATACTTAAATTTCACCTTGACAACCTGGTGTCAGCCATTTTCAACCTTGACAACCTGGTGTCAGCCATTCTCAACCTTGACAACCTGGTGTCAGCCATTCTCAACCTTGACAACCTGGTGTCAGCCATTCTCAACCTTGACAACCTGGTGTCAGCCATTCTCAACCTTGACAACCTGGTGTCAGCCATTCTCAGCCTTGACAACCTGGTGTCAGCCATTCTGAGCCTTGACAACCTGGTGTCAGCCATTCTGAGCCTTGACAACCTGGTGTCAGCCATTCTGAGCCTTGACAACCTGGTGTCAGCCGTTCTCAGCCTTGACAACCTGGTGTCAGCCGTTCTCAGCCTTGACAACCTGGTGTCAGCCATTCTCAGCCTTGACAACCTGGTGTCAGCCATTCTCAGCCTTGACAACCTGGTGTCAGCCATTCTCAGCCTTGACAACCTGGTGTCAGCCATTCTCAGCCTTGACAACCTGGTGTCAGCCATTCTCAGCCTTGACAACCTGGTGTCAGCCATTCTCAGCCTTGACAACCTGGCGTCAGCCATTCTCAGCCTTGACGGCCTGGCGTCAGCCATTCTCAGCCTTGACGGCCTGGCGTCAGCCATTCTCAGCCTTGACGGCCTGGCGTCAGCCATTCTCAGCCTTGACGGCCTGGCGTCAGCCATTCTCAGCCTTGACGGCCTGGCGTCAGCCATTCTCAGCCTTGACGGCCTGGCGTCAGCCATTCTCAGCCTTGACGGCCTGGCGTCAGCCATCTCAGCCTTGACGGCCTGGCGTCAGCCATTCTCAGCCTTGACGGCCTGGCGTCAGCCATTCTCAGCCTTGACGGCCTGGCGTCAGCCATTCTCAGCCTGGCGTCAGCCATTCTCAGCCTGGCGTCAGCCATTCTCAGCCTTGACGGCCTGGCGTCAGCCATTCTCAGCCTGGCGTCAGCCATTCTCAGCCTGGCGTCAGCCATTCTCAGCCTGGCGTCAGCCATTCTCAGCCTGGCGTCAGCCATTCTCAGCCTGGCGTCAGCCATTCTCAGCCTGGCGTCAGCCATTCTCAGCCTTGACAGCCTGGTGTCAGCCATTCTCAGCCTTGACAGCCTGGTGTCAGCCATTTTCAGCCTTGACAGCCTGGTGTCAGCCTTGACAGCCTGGTGTCAGCCATTTTCAACCTTGACAACCTGGTGTCAGCCTTGACAGCCTGGTGTCAGACATTCTCAGGCTTGACAGCCTGGTGTCAGCCTTGACAGCCTGGTGTCAGCCTTGACAGCCTGGTGTCAGCCTTGACAACCTGGTGTCAGCCTTGACAGCCTGGTGTCAGCCTTGACAGCCATTCTCAGCCTTGACAGCCATTCTCAGCCTGGTGTCGGCCATTCTCAGACTTGACAGCCTGGTGTCGGCCATTCTCAGCCTTGACAGCCTGGTGTGCCGGCCATTCTCAGCCTTGACAGCCTGTGTGTCGGCCATTCTCAGCCTTGACAGCCTGGTGTCGGCCATTCTCAGCCTTGACAGCCTGGTGTCGGCCATTCTCAGCCTTGACAGCCTGGTGTCGGCCATTCTCAGCCTTGACAGCCTGGTGTCGGCCATTCTCACCCTTTGGGACAGCCTGGTGTCGGCCATTCTCAGCCTTGACAGCCTGGTGTCGGCCATTCTCAGCCTTGACAGCCTGGTGTCGGCCATTCTCAGCCTGGTGTCGGCCATTCTCAGCCTGGTGTCGGCCATTCTCAGCCTGGTGTCGGCCATTCTCAGCCTGGTGTCGGCCATTCTCAGCCTGGTGTCGGCCATTCTCAGCCTGGTGTCGGCCATTCTCAGCCTGGTTGGTCGGCCATTCTCAGCCTGGTGTCGGCCATTCTCAGCCTGGTGTCGGCCATTCTCAGCCTGGTGTCGGCCATTCTCAGCCTGGTGTCGGCCATTCTCAGCCTGGTGTCGGCCATTCTCAGCCTGGTGTCGGCCATTCTCAGCCTGGTGTCGGCCATTCTCAGCCCGGTGTCGGCCATTCTCAGCCCGGTGTCGGCCATTCTCAGCCCGGTGTCGGCCATTCTCAGCCCGGTGTCGGCCATTCTCAGCCCGGTGTCGGCCATTCTCAGCCCGGTGTCGGCCATTCTCAGCCCGGTGTCGGCCATTCTCAGCCTTGACAGCCTGGTGGCTGCCATTCTCAGCCTTGACAACCTGGTGTCAGCCATTCTCAGCCTGGTGTCGGCCATTCTCAGCCTTGACAGCCTGGTGTCGGCCATTCTCAGCCTTGACAGCCTGGTGTCGGCCATTCTCAGCCTTGACAGCCTGGTGTCGGCCATTCTCAGCCTTGACAGCCTGGTGTCGGCCATTCTCAGCCTTGACAGCCTGGTGTCGGCCATTCTCAGCCTGGTGTCGGCCATTCTCAGCCTGGTGTCGGCCATTCTCAGCCTGGTGTCGGCCATTCTCAGCCTGGTGTCGGCCATTCTCAGCCTGGTGTCGGCCATTCTCAGCCCGGTGTCGGCCATTCTCAGCCCGGTGTCGGCCATTCTCAGCCCGGTGTCGGCCATTCTCAGCCCGGTTGTCGGCCATTCTCAGCCCGGTGTCGGCCATTCTCAGCCCGGTGTCGGCCATTCTCAGCCCGGTGTCGGCCATTCTCAGCCCGGTGTCGGCCATTCTCAGCCCGGTGTCGGCCATTCTCAGCCCGGGTGTCCGGCCATTTCTCAGCCCGGTGTCGGCCATTCTCAGCCCGGTGTCGGCCATTCTCAGCCCGGTGTCGGCCATTCTCAGCCCGGTGTCGGCCATTCTCAGCCTTGACAGCCTGGTGTCTGCCATTCTCAGCCTTGACAGCCTGGTGTCGGCCATTCTCAGCCTGGTGTCGGCCATTCTCAGCCTTGACAGCCTGGTGTCGGCCATTCTCAGCCTTGACAGCCTGGTGTCGGCCATTCTCAGCCTTGACAGCCTGGTGTCGGCCATTCTCAGCCTTGACAGCCTGGTGTCGGCCATTCTCAGCCTTGACAGCCTGGTGTCGGCCATTCTCAGCCTTGACAGCCTGGTGTCGGCCATTCTCAGCCTTGACAGCCTGGGTGTCGGCCATTCTCAGCCTTGACAGCCTGGTGTCGGCCATTCTCAGCCTTGACAGCCTGGTGTCGGCCATTCTCAGCCTTGACAGCCTGGTGTCGGCCATTCTCAGCCTTGACAGCCTGGTGTCGGCCATTTCTCAGCCTTGACAGCCTGGTGTCGGCCATTCTCAGCCTTGACAGCCTGGTGTCGGCCATTCTCAGCCTTGACAGCCTGGTGTCGGCCATTCTCAGCCTTGACAGCCTGGTGTCGGCCATTCTCAGCCTTGACAGCCTGGTGTCGGCCATTCTCAGCCTTGACAGCCTGGTGTCGGCCATTCTCAGCCTTGACAGCCTGGTGTCGGCCATTCTCAGCCTTGACAGCCTGGTGTCGGCCATTCTCAGCCTTGACAGCCTGGTGTCGGCCATTCTCAGCCTTGACAGCCTGGTGTCAGCCTTGACAGCCTGGTGTCGGCCATTCTCGGCCTTGACAGCCTGTTGTCGGCCATTCTGGGCCCTTTGACAGCCCTGGCGGTCGGCCATTCTCGGCCCTTGACTGCCTTGCGTCGGCCATTCTCGGCCTTTGGGCGCCTGGCGTCGGCCGTTCTCGGCCTTGGCTGCCTGGCGTCGGCCGTTCTCGGCCTTGGCTGCCTGGCGTCGGCCGTTCTCGGCCTTGGCTGCCTGGCGTCGGCCGTTCTCGGCCTTGGCTGCCTGGCTCGGCCGTTCTCGGCCTTGGCTGCCTGGCGTCGGCCGTTCTCGGCCTTGGCTGCCTGGCGTCGGCCGTTCTCGGCCTTGGCTGCCTGGCGTCGGCCGTTCTCGGCCTTGGCTGCCTGGCGTCGGCCGTTCTCGGCCCTTGGCTGCCTGGCGTCGGCCGTCTCGGCCTTGGCTGCCTGGCGTCGGCCGTGCTCGGCCTTGGCTGCCTGGCGTCGGCCGTGCTCGCCTTGGCTGCCTGGCGTCGGCCGTGCTCGGCCTTGGCTGCCTGGCGTCGGCCGTGCTCGGCCTTGGCTGCCTGGCGTGGGCCGTGCTCGGCCTTGGCTGCCTGGCGTCGGCCGTGCTCGGCCTTGGCTGCCTGGCGTCGGCCGTGCTCGGCCTTGGCTGCCTGGCGTCGGCCGTGCTCGGCCTTGGCTGCCTGGCGTCGGCCGTGCTCGGCCTTGGCTGCCTGGCGTCGGCCGTGCTCGGCCTTGGCTGCCTGGCGTCGGCCGTGCTCGGCCTTGGCTGCCTGGCGTCGGCCGTGCTCGGCCTTGGCTGCCTGGCGTCGGCCGTGCGCGGCCTTGGCTGCCTGGCGTCGGCCGTGCGCGGCCTTGGCTGCCTGGCGTCGGCCGTGCGCGGCCTTGGCTGCCTGGCGTCGGCCGTGCGCGGCCTTGGCTGCCTGGCGTCGGCCGTGCGCGGCCTTGGCTGCCTGGCGTCGGCCGTGCGCGGCCTTGGTTTGCCTGGCGTGGGCCGTGCGCGGCCTTGGCTGCCTGGCGTCGGCCGTGCTCGGCCTTGGCTGCCTGGCGTCGGCCCGTGCTCGGCCTTGGCTGCCTGGCGTCGGCCGTGCTCGGCCTTGGCTGCCTGGCGTCGGCCGTGCTCGGCCTTGGCTGCCTGGCGTCGGCCGTGCTCGGCCTTGGCTGCCTGGCGTCGGCCGTGCTCGGCCTTGGCTGCCTGGCGTCGGCCTTTGCTCGGCCTTTTGGCTGCCTGGCGTCGGCCGTGCTGGGCCTTGGCTGCCGGGCGTCGGCCGTGCTCGGCCTTGGCTGCCTGGCGTCGGCCGTGCTCGGCCTTGGCTGCCTGGCGTCGGCCGTGCTCGGCCTTGGCTGCCTGGCGTCGGCCGTGCTCGGCCTTGGCTGCCTGGCGTCGGCCGTGCTCGGCCTTGGCTGCCTGGCGTCGGCCGTGCTCGGCCTTGGCTGCCTGGCGTCGGCCGTGCTCGGCCTTGGCTGCCTGGCGTCGGCCGTGCTGGGCCTTGGCTGCCTGGCGTCCGGCCGTGCTCGGCCTTGGCTGCCTGGCGTCGGCCGTGCTCGGCCTTGGCTGCCTGGCGTCGGCCGTGCTCGGCCTTGGCTGCCTGGCGTCCGGCCGTGCTCGGCCTTGGCTGCCTGGCGTCGGCCGTGCTCGGCCTTGGCTGCCTGGCGTCGGCCGTGCTCGGCCTTGGCTGCCTGGCGTCGGCCGTGCTCGGCCTTGGCTGCCTGGCGTCGGCCGTGCTCGGCCTTGGCTGCCTGGCGTCGGCCGTGCTCGGCCTTGGCTGCCTGGCGTCGGCCGTGCTCGGCCTTGGCTGCCTGGCGTCGGCCGTGCTCGGCCTTGGCTGCCTGGCGTCGGCCGTGCTCGGCCTTGGCTGCCTGGCGTCGGCCGTGCTCGGCCTTGGCTGCCTGGCGTCGGCCGTGCTCGGCCTTGGCTGCCTGGCGTCGGCCGTGCTCGGCCTTGGCTGCCTGGCGTCGGCCGTGCTCGGCCTTGGCTGCCTGGCGTCGGCCGTGCTCGGCCTTGGCTGCCTGGCGTGGGCCGTGCTCGGCCTTGGCTGCCTGGCGTCGGCCGTGCTCGGCCTTGGCTGCCTGGCGTCGGCCGTGCTCGGCCTTGGCTGCCTGGCGTCGGCCGTGCTGGGCCCTTTGGGCTGCCTGGCGTCGGCCGTGCTCGGCCTTGGCTGCCTGGCGTCGGCCGTGCTCGGCCTTGGCTGCCTGGCGTCGGCCGTGCTCGGCCTTGGCTGCCTGGCGTCGGCCGTGCTCGGCCTTGGCTGCCTGGCGTCGGCCGGCTCGGCCTTGGCTGCCTGGCGTCGCCGTGCTCGGCCTTGGCTGCCTGGCGTCGGCCGTGCTCGGCCTTGGCTGCCTGGCGTCGGCCGTGCTCGGCCTTGGCTGCCTGGCGTCGGGCCGTGCTCGGCCTTGGCTGCCTGGCGTCGGCCGTGCTCGGCCTTGGCTGCCGGCGTCGGCCGTGCTCGGCCTTGGCTGCCTGGCGTCGGCCGTGCTCGGCCTTGGCTGCCTGGCGTCGGCCGTGCTCGCCTTGGCTGCCTGGCGTCGGCCGTGCTCGGCCTTGGCTGCCTGGCGTCGGCCGTGCTCGGCCTTGGCTGCCTGGCGTCGGCCCGTGCTTGGGCTTTCGGCTTGGCTGCCTGGCGTCGCCGTGCTGGGCCTTGGCTGCCTGGCGTCGGCCGTGCTCGGCCTTGGCTGCCTGGCGTCGGCCGTGCTCGGCCTTGGCTGCCTGGCGTCGGCCGTGCTCGGCCTTGGCTGCCTGGCGTCGGCCGTGCTCGGCCTTGGCTGCCTGGCGTCGGCCGTGCTCGGCCTTGGCTGCCTGGCGTCGGCCGTGCTCGGCCTTGGCTGCCTGGCGTCGGCCGTGCTCGGCCTTGGCTGCCTGGCGTCGGCCGTGCTCGGCCTTGGCTGCCTGGCGTCGGCCGTGCTCGGCCTTTGGCTGCCTGCGTCGGCGTGCTCGGCCTTGGCTGCCTGGCGTCGGCCGTGCTCGGCCTTGGCTGCCTGGCGTCGGCCGGTGCTCGGCCTTGGCTGCCTGGCGTCGGCCGTGCTCGGCCTTGGCTGCCTGGCGTCGGCCGTGCTCGGCCCTTGGCTGCCTGGCGTCGGCCGTGCTCGGCCTTGGCTGCCTGGCGTCGGCCGTGCTCGGCCTTGGCTGCCTGGCGTCGGCCGTGCTCGGCCTTGGCTGCCTGGCGTCGGCCGTGCTCGGCCTTGGCTGCCTGGCGTCGGCCGTGCTCGGCCTTGGCTGCCTGGCGTCGGCCGTGCTGGGCCCCTTGGCTGCCTGGCGTCGGCCGTGCTCGGCCTTGGCTGCCTGGCGTCAGCCATGCGCGACCTTACCTGCCTGGCGTCAGCCATTCTCAACTGGATCAGTTGGCTATAAGATTCAGCCAGTTAAGTGCATTTCTATACACCACGGGGAGGTTAGCATGGGCCACCAGTGTGACCGCAAATGCTGGTTTTTTTTTTTACAGATGAATCCCACACAAGATTGACTGGTGTATCATCATGATTACATGAATCAAAGTTGTAGATGAGTGGAGCAAACTGCCAGGTAGCAACATTGGAAAACTTTGGGAGATTTAAAAATAACTTGGATGGGTAATAATAATAATAGTAATAAGTATTTAATAATCTCCATGTGGAAGTGGAAAATAATTCTTCCTCTATAACCCATGTTTGTTGTAAGAGGTGACTAAAATACCAGAAGCAAGGGGCTAGTAACCCCTTCTCCTGTATAAATTACTAAATTTAAAAAGGAAAGCTTTCAGTTTTTCTTTTTAGGTCACTCTGCCTTGGTGGGATATGGCTGGTTCGTTAGAGAAAACAATAATATTTTATTTCATCATGATAGAATGTTTGTATAGAAATGGTTGACAGTTAGTTGTGTATACAGAAAACCCACAGTTATGCAGAGCATTTTGGACAAACTTAAGCCCAACTTGAGACAACAATGACAATAGCTAATTACTTGCTTATGTATAAGGACAGTTAAGTTTATACAGACAGCAGATTTAGGAATTACAAGAACAAACAAGCAGAAAATTATTACTTAAGTTTGAATTAAGATTACAAGTAATGAGAAGAATATGGACATGCTTAGCATGGGCCAGTAGGTCTGCTGCAGTGCTCCTTGATTCTTAAATAGTGTGTGAGAGTGAGAGGAAGCTTAGTCGGACTTGAGTCCTGGAGGTGGAAAGCACAGTACCTGCACTCTGAAGGATGGGTGGAGGTGGGAAGTAGAGTGCCTGCACTCTGAAGGAGGAAGTGAGGACAATGCACTGTGGAGGGTCACCTGAACTGTGATGTCATCACACCTCAGGCAAGACAGTGATTGAATGAATGATGGTGAATGTATTATCTGTTTTCTTTGGGTCACCCTACCTCAGTATTAGACCCAATCTGATAAAAAAAAAAAAAAGCAATATTACACATAATTGTCTTCAATATTTTATTACAGGTCGAAGAACTGATGCTGCAGTAAAGAAGGAAGATACGGAGGGCGCTGGTGACGGGCAGCCAGAGGAAATAAATAGCGATAAACTTAACTACGAAGACGACTTGCCTGACACTGCCTTTGCCGGCATAGAGAGAAGTGACCAAGTCTACATGGTTGATATTGAGAATGCTGTTTCTTATGCACTAGGGCATGAAGTCATACAACATAAGTTTGTCCGAGGAGAAGCGCTTAAATCCCTCCAGGATTTCCTGGAAGTGCTGGTGAAGTACCTCCCAGCTCGACCAGTTGTCCACAAGTTCTTGTCCAAGCTGCATCAGTACACTGTTGGTCAGAGAAATGGCATTGAAGGCATCAAGTTTGCTGAAGTTATGAAGTCTCTCCAGGGTCAGGATTCCATCTTGCCCACTCATCAGCCTTGGATTGGGTGTCTGGGAAGTGAGCCCAGGTACAGAGGTTATCCTTGTGGTCTATGGACTACCTTCCATGTGCTGACAGTTAATTCAGTTCTTCAAGATGGCAGTAAAGTGTCATTTAATGCCAAGACAATTCTCCGGGCTATTCATGGCTTCGTAAAACACTTTTTCTCGTGTAAATATTGTTCGCAGCACTTTCAAGCTATGTATGCTGAAGATGCCGAATCATCCGTGAATGTGGCAGATGATGGCATCCTCTGGTTGTGGCGAGGCCATAACAAAGTTAACAAGCGCCTTCATGGTGACGCGAGTGAGGATCCCATGCACCCAAAACAACAGTTTCCCTCTGAAGCAGCATGTGCAGCGTGCTGGCACAAAGGTACTCTAGTCGAACAGGAAGTTCTGCCATACCTTAAGCGTATATACTCTAAGGGGATGCTCTCCTTCCGAGGTACTCAGATGATCTCGCCTCCAGCAAAGAACAAGCAAGCCAGAGTCATGGAAGAGTTAGAGAAAAACAGAGAGAGGGAAGAGAGAAAGGAGAGCGTGAAGGTGAATGAGAAGCTTCACAACATGGCGGAACAGCAGCCACTGCGTCCACTGAGCACCTGGGGCTTCAACAGTACAGACATCAGCCTGTGCGTCTTCCTCTACGGCATCTCCACTCTCATCATCATGAGTGTCTATTGCATGGTCGTCATCAGAAGGAAACTCAGGAGGAGAAGATTCTTAGAGGCGTATAAACTGCCGTAAGTTGTCCCATTCTAACTTCTCCCTGAGTGTGATTCACTGATTTATTTTAAACATCATTTGGATGTGTACTCCCATGTCTTTTAATTTAAAGAAATTGTTTTAATTTCGTCGTAGCTTCTTGACGCATGGTGATATTATACACTAAATTTGTCTCAAAATGTTTGAGAAGCATCATGTACACAAAAGTATTTTTTTTTTGTGCGACTGTGTGCATGCATGTGTGCTTGCACGTGTGTGTAAATTTTTCTTAACTCACTGGCTGTCTCCTGCCAAGGTAGGGTGGCCTAAAGAAAAAAACATGTTTACCATCATTTAATAGTCATCTTTCTAGAAATGTGTTGCCATCACAATTAGTTTACCCTTTGACTGTAACATCCTCACTCATCCCTCAGAGTACAGGCACTCTACTTCCTACTTTCAGGACTCAGGTTTGGCTAACTGGTTTCCATTAATCTCTTCATAAATATTACCTTACTCCCACTCCAATAACACGTACAAGAGGGCTCTGTACTGCTCTAAAGTTTGCAACTCGAAACAATAAGAGAAAATTGCCTGTGGATTGAAAAGCTTTTTTTTTTTTTTTCATTATTAACCCTTTGACTGTCGAGGTCGTATATATACGTCTTACGAGGTACCGTGTTTGACATGTATATGCTCATAAATTCTAGCGGCTTCAAATCGAGCAGGAAAAAGCTGGTAGGCCCACATGTGAGAGAATGGGTCTCTATGGTCAGTGTGCACCATATAAAAGAAAATCCTGGAGCATGCAGTGCATAATGAGAAAAAAAACTCCGACCGTTTTTTTTAATTAAAATGCCGACTTTGTGGTCTATTTTCGTGTGGTATTTATGGTTGTATTCTCGTTTTCTTGGTCTCATTTGATAGAATGAAAAACATATTATAGAAATAGAGGTGATTTTGATTGATTATACTATAAAAAGTACCTGGAAATGGAGCTCAAAGTAGGGGAAATGTTTGATTTTTGCCAATGTTCAAAAGTAAACAAATGATGCCATTGTCCATTAAATGTCCAACTAGCCATTCTAATATGCAGTCATGAATGGGTTGACATTATCTGTACAATTATAACAGTATTGCAGTAGTCTGCATAACAGTAAATCTTCTATTTTTTGTTTGAATAAAAATTCAAAATAGAAAGCAAGAGTAATATCAGAGGGGCTTGGAGACGTGACTGATGAACAAAGAAAATGTTATTTTAGAGCCAGGAATATCTGCATTGTTCATTCTGGACCTTATTTTGAAATTGTCATATTTTTGAATTTTTGTGAAATTGGCCAAATTGCAAATTTCTGACCATGTTATTGGGTAGTTGAAATCTGTAAATGGGCAGTTTCTTGTACTCAATCGATAGAAAAAATGGATTTCTAAAAAAATAGTTATGAGTTTGGTCGACTGGAATAATGGAATTAGCCGAAAATGGGGCTCAAAGTGGACGAAATTGCCCATTTATGAATATCGCCAAGGTCGCCAACTTCGCGAGAGCGTAATTCCATCAGTTTTCCATCAAATATCGTGTTTTTGGTGTCATTATAATCGGGAAATGATTCTCTATCATTTCATAAGAAAAAATAATATTTTTTTTTTTTTTTAATTTTGCAACACCAGGAGACACTTCAGGATTGGGGGTTGCGACAGTCAAGGGGTTAAATATGCCTAAAACACTGGTAATATGTTTACACTATCATATATTAAGTACTCATGCAGCTAGGCATGGAAAAAAATAAAGTGAAATAAGTGCAATGCACAGTACGTACAATACTTACCTTAAAATACTGTGCCAGTCACCCTTCCCTTATGCAACTGTTGTACAAAAAATGCTGTAATGGCAGAAAAGTCATAAAAGCATTGAACATAATGAACAGTGGTTCAGTTGAAAGCTAATAAAAACTTGGAACATCAAAATGAAGGAGCTGTATACATGGGACCTTCCTGTACATTAAAAATCACATTTCCATTCCTTTGTAATACAGTTTCACAAGCCTTCTGAATGTTCAAGACCATAAAACTCAAACCCTTTACCCCCACCACCTCTCTCCAGCCATTCCAAGGATGATCTCTACCCCTCCTGCCTTCCACCCAGGATTTATACACCAACTTTGTAATCCTATCTGTCTCTATCCTCTTGACATGCCCAGATCATCTCAAAAACCCTCCTCAGCTCTCTGAGTTATATTCTTGGTCACCCCCACATCACTTTCTAATTTCTGCACTCCAAATTCTGTACGTAATGTTCACACTGTGCATTGTTCTCAAACGCGACATTTCCACTGCCTCCAGCCCCTTCCTGGCTACAGTGTTTAAAACCCAATTTTCACACCCATATAATAGTGTTGTTACCACTATACTCTGGTACATTTTTCCCATTTTGGCTTCCATGGATAAAGTTATGATGAATGGTTTTGAAAATCTACAAGTTGAAGAATTGAGACACTTATGCAACATATGGGAATCTTTATTGATGAAACGTTTTGCCACACAGTGGCTTCATCAGTCCAATACAAAGCAGGAAGGTATAAGGAGAGGAGGAATTTGAGGTAATCAGTCCCTCAGCCTGGAATCAGTGTGTTCAGTCCATAAGTTGCGTAAGTGTCTCAGTTTTTCATGGATAAAGTTCTTTGTCTCCATAGATACCTCAGTGCACCACCTTTTTCCCTCGTCAAATCTAAAGTTCACCTTGTGTTTTGTAGAACGATCTGCTGACATGTTCGCTCTGGATATCTCGACGTATTAACTTCCTCCATAATCCCTCTCTCCAATCATTCATTGACGAGATTTTTTGTTACATCATCATGCTATTTCCTGTGTTCACTTATAATTGTCTTATTTACACAATAACCCACACATAGGAGAGAGACAGAAGCTTACGATGACATTTCAGTCTGACTTGGACCATTTACAAAATCACACTAACAGGAAAGAGTGAGGTAGTTAGTATATTCTAAGGTATTAGGGACAAGGTGTGGGATTAAATGAAGAGTCTAACACAAAGTGGAAGTTGTCACAGTTGCTTTTTGTTGATGACACTGTGCATTTGGGAGATTCTGAAATGAAGATTCGAAGACTAGTTGATGAATTTGGGAGGGGATGTAAAAGAAGACAATGAAGAACAAAAGGGCGCAACACTGTGACTGGAATAATATACAAATAACCTTCACATAGGAAAGAGGAGCTTATGATGGACCATTTACAAAGTCACACTAACAGAAAAAGAGTGAGGCAACCTTTCCTACTTTTTCCTTTTTCTTTCGTTATTTTCTTTTCTTCAGTCATCTGTGTTCTGTTAGTCTGTTGTCCCACTGCATTTTGGTCCTGTGCCTTGCAGGCCCTTAGCTCTTCTCTTTTTAGTCCTCACCCCCCTGCATTCCTATGCTATTGCTTTTCTTTTTTTTTTTCTTTTTTTTTTTCTTTTTGCCATGATGTTGTGTACAGGCCCAAAATTTGCCTGTAGGGATGGCTGACCTCTTGGCTGCTTCTCGCCCATTTTCTGCTGAGAAGTCCTTCCTCATAAGTCAGATCTTGACAATTATTTACCAGTGATTATGCAGCCCTGAAGCCACCCCACTGGGTATGCATTCTCCACTGCACTATCGAGCCTTCTAGGGCCTTCACAACATGCAACTCAACCTTAGATGTTGGTATATGAAGTTCCTTGTTGAGTATCTTGTATGATTGCGGGAACATTGCACCTCTCCAGGTAATTATCACTGTTCCAAGGACAACCTCTTTAGGGTCAATGGGCTGTATGTCGATGATAGTCAGCGGTGACTCAGCATTGTCTTGTGGTGTATTGTAGAGATGAAGCTGCTGGGTCGCCCAACTAGCAGCCCAACTTCTGATCTGGCCAGTATCATAGTACTCGGCCTTCCATCGATACTGATCCACCATGGATGCGATGTTAGTCGCTCGCAATCTTCACATCAATCATGAAAGCCTTTCTGTTTTCCAAATCACAAATCAGCAAGTCAGGCTTATGTGTTCCAAGTACTGTTGGTATCTGCAACTCTAGCCACAGCATGTTTCTTTACCACACAGTCTGCGGCGATGGCATCCACAATATTATCATGTCATCGGACCCGTTGCCCATGGAGTCTTAGACATACCTGCAGGAGGTGTCCCAGGGACTCGTGTTGATCACAACCTTCACAGGTCGCATTTACTAGTCTTCATCCTCTTGCATGCCTTGTTTTTGTTGGCATCAAGTTATGTTTAATCTTCAAAGCATCAATATATATGGCCCCCTTCATGAGGCTCGTTCCATTCGTCATCCATCTATGGACATGTGGGACGAAATGATGTTCTTTCAGTCCCACACCATCTAACAAACCAACCAAAACATTGGTCCATTCTTTAAGCTCCTGCCGCCTGGTCGTTACAACCACATTCCTCACTTTGCTTTGTCCAACAAACTTTAATGCCTTAAGGGTGTTCAGATGTAAAGCCAGGTTCTGTATTACGCAATCTTCAGAAATGTGGAATGCATCAAGCCTGTTCCTCCACAGTATCGGAACTCTTGTTGACAAGCAAATACACCCTAGACCCCCCACAGCAGTTGATGCATAATGAACACCAATTGACGTATCGTTAGGAAACTTGAGCCATTTCTTCACCATTTGCCTGATCAATTTGTCCAACGTCCTCAAGGTATTCTGACTCTGCTTCAGCTATTGGCCATCCAATTCGTTCATTTAAAGCCAACAATGCTTCATTCATTACTATATTAAAGAGAATGCATGAGAGGGGGTCCCCTTGCTTCACCCCCCTACACACACTCCCTTTCCCATAACCTTCATAGATGCATCAGCATAAGTTGACAAAATATAATTAATCACTAAAGGAGGGACATTATGTACTAGTACTGCCCTTCTAACAGAAGGATGGTTCACCGAGTCATAGGCCTTCTTCACATCTAAAAATCTAGTACATATATATAGCGGTTTAATCTTGGCTTTACTCTCGCTAATTATTGCATCCAACA